CCGTTGTAGCACCTGTAAGGAGAGAGAGAGAGTGAGAGAGAGAGAGAGACCTTCCCGTTGTAGCACCTGTAAGGAGAGAGAGAGAGTGAGAGAGAGAGAGAGACCTTCCCGTTGTAGCACCTGTAAGGAGAGAGAGAGAGTGAGAGAGAGAGAGAGACCTTCCCGCTGCAGCACCTGTAAGGAGAGAGAGAGAGGGTGAGAGAGGAGAGGAGGAAGTGAGAGGGAGAGAGGGGAGGAGAGGGTGAGAGTGAGAGAGAGAGAGAGAGAGAGAGAGAGAGAGAGAGAGAGAGAGAGAGAGAGAGAGAGAGAGAGAGAGAGAGAAGAGTTGTATAACCGGTTAGGATATCGTTTTTTTTCGATCTCCTTGAACTTAAAATCCTGGAGTGATGGAGAGGAATTCTCTGCAAAAAGTCTAAAACGCCTAATATAGGGAATGGAAAGGTCCCATCAACCTGGTCAAACACACCACCTGCCGGCTTAATTTTTACCACTACGCACACGACTTCATCGTTACTCTCCCGTGTTCCAGCCATGCTCCATCCATGCCCTCGCCATGACCAGACCCTGTTCCATCCAGTAAACGACGAATATTATATACAGCGACCGCCTCTCGCGACATAGTCGACAGCAAAGGTTAAAACAATCTGATAAGACTACCCACCAGTCGAAACCAGTCGCTCGCCAGTAACAGTGCGTCAGCTATCTTTGCTGAAGCCCTAGAAGCTATAATCGCGTGGAGCCACACCCCGCCGTAGTGCTAACCCAGAACTCCCCTTGTTCAAATACGCCATACTTTAGATGGAATGTTTACATTGTGACGAAGCTGATCACCGGCAGCAGCATATGCGTTTCGCATGTTGCTCTATTGGCTCATATACTTCAGGCTGCGATGTAATGCCGTCCATGTGTTTACCAGCGTTATTGACCGCGCAAAAAATTTGCCCCATGGGAATGCGTAATTGATTTTGAGCACTTGCTGAAACTGAGATTAAAATTTAATGGTAAATGAATTGGGTCAACGCAAGAGTGGATGTGGTCAGGGTGGGTGAGTTAGTTACTTAAACATAGCATAATGTGAGCTTAGCATATGTCCTTCAAGATACTAGCTAATGATTATAAATGCAGCCGACCTTGGCAATCGTGTTTGATGGAGCCTGCCACTTAAATTTAAATAATACACAAAACCATGTACGTTTTTGTATATCGAAAACACAATAACCAATATACAATTGAATATTGATTAATTCTTCACGTGGAGTTTATCGAGATTCATCGCTAAAAATGTTGTTTCTTTCGTCTTTAAGCTACAGTCGGCAGGCATCTAGACACAATAGCTGTAGATAATTTATTCATGGTTATAGATTATCGTTAACACTCCCTGCGTGATTCGTGCGTATATTGTTTCGTGGAAAATGCAAGACGTTTTACGCTAAATCGTTAAACTACTTTTCGTTTCTTATTTACGTTCATTCCCTTCATTGTGAGAAACAATATCTAAAACGAACGACATTTCCTCCAAATAAGTAATATCACACTCCCACATGCGAGACTATCAAAGCTCCTTGAACATGAAATAGGCATACTCAAGTGCGTCCATGATTCTAGACATTCTTTGCCATGGCAACAGCAGCACAATCTCCAGCTACCATCTACGCTCAATCTACGCATTGCATTTCACTTTCCAAAAATACATGGCGCGCACAATTGTCAGGCACGTCTCCGCCAGTGCTGGCAGCCGAAACATCTCCGCCAAGGGTTTGCTGGCGAGTGAAAGGAATAGTTGCATCATAACCGCAGAACCCCGATTATAAGTCGGTCTAACTCGCCAGAGGTCAACCAGGAGACAAACCTGGTTGCGTCATAACTCATTGCGCCAAAAACAAAGGTAAGAGGCGTGAATTTATCTCGAAAGGGTTTCGTTGAAAGCCAGTCGCCATGTTTATGTCACGTGCTGTCATGAAGATCTGTCATTAGGGCAGGGTGCAGCTCCACGATTGTGCGATTGCGATGGCTTTTTCTAAAACGTTCTATATGAGTTTGTCTCGGCTTTCTGACCAAAACTATCTGGTGTGCAACACTGATCTCTACTATACTAATATTATATGATAGTTAGTATAATAGAGATCAGTGGTGGGCAACGCTTGCTTTTCGTGTCTAATTTAGTTCGCATGCGCTCTTAGTATATATCTAAACAAAAGTATAGGCATATATGTAAACATAATCATATAGCTACGCAAAAGTCTTGCGATGTCCGCAATGCGTACAAGGTGAAACTTCATATAGCAACTTGGCACTAACAAACTAACTAACAGTGACTAAGTAACTATGTAACTAACAGAAATATCAATTTACACGATGTGTTAAACGGAACGTGGAGGAATCGGTAAACTAGGCTTTCTCAGGAAAGTGCCCCATTCCGCGAAGAATGCCATAGGATTAGTGTTACGCGCATTATAGGGTCAATTGTGTCCATAGCCGGTTTTCCGATGATGCACGTAACATAATAATTCCTGCTATTGTCATGCTTATATATATATATACATTTCATATTTTCCTTAACCAACTAAGCACATATATATGTATATATATACCTATATATCAGGGAAAAAAATATAATTTATTTTTCGGGGGCTACTTTTCAAGCTCGCGTGCATAAAAATAGCACACTAAAATTTGGTTTGCATTGAACTTTATGCAAATTTACGGGGGCTCTTTTTGGCATTTCCGGGGCTCTTTTTGGCATTTCGGGGGCTAAATCGCCCCGAGCCCCCGTGTATTTTTTTCACTGCTATATATATATATATATATATGCTTAGTTGGTTAAGGAAAATATGAAATGTATACTTAATGCTGCTAGGACTAAAAAGAGTTTTTAAGTGAAAACAATATTTAATAAATTAGGCAGGTATTAAATAATTGATGCAAATGAAGTTATAATATTACCAGTAGGAATCGGAGAGAGACCGAGACAGAGATAGAGAGGGGGGGGGAGCGAGATAACGTTATATTATGTCAAATCAATATTGAAGAGAGAATGTCATCTGTAATAATGAAAATTACAATAACTTTTTCATCACTATTCCTCGGGGCCATATTACACGCAAAGATGTTTTGTACACATTGCAGTACCCCATAATAAAAAAACCAGCAGAGCGGTTTGAATATAGCCTACTGTACCACGTCCGGGCATACCAAGCCACTCACGCGCTCTAACGCTAAAGAGCCTCACACGTTTACGTGAATGTCTGACTTAACGTTGTTGCTATAGTCCACGGCCGACGGCAATGCGTCTGCAACCGAGACGGGATGCTTATTTATACACGGGTCTTTGCCGAAATGTGGATCCTGCAGACAGACACGCGTGCAGTGCGCTGCCTTGCAACAGAACGACGGGCTGCCGACTACAACAACTAGCGTGCCTTTTTCGATGCTTACAGTTCATGCAGCTATTTGAGATAATGCGGAGTAAGGCCCCGTAGCGGAGAGTAAATTAAGCTGCGGCATGGTAGCGGGAACGGAGTCGAATCCGAAGAGGCATAGGCATTTACGCGCGGCAGAGGCAACTGTTTTCAGTGTCTCATCGGCTCTGCGCGACGTATCCATCTTTTTCGTGTGTAAGCGAGTCATTTTTGTTTTTATTTAATTGTTTTTCGCTGCACGCCTGTAGCGTCTGCGTTCGTTACAACAAGCGTGTCCATCTCCTTTCATTATCTGCGTGCATGGGAAGTGAGACCAGCTAGGCGTATATTCAGTGAGCCTTAAACGCACGTGCTGCGATGAACCGCGGTTTGCTAGTTCTCTGGTTAGCGGCGGTAGACAACACGCGCTGCGATTTTTAACTGTCTTCGATTGCATGAACCCTGTAAGTATAGATTACTAGACAAACTGACGAACCAACTGAAGGTCAAAGAGATCCAAAAACGAAGCGCGTGTAGATTGGATTGATAAGATCGAAGGTAGGACTAGACGCCGCGTAGCGATATAACTCTTATCTAACCTTTTATAATACGATTCTTTTAACGTATTAGTGATAAATAATATCGCCGTGGGCTGCAATGACACGCCTTTATAACGGGACGTTTCTCACTAAGGTTTTTCTTAACGCAATGCTCGAGTAAAGTACGCGAACGCACTCCGGTTGACCGGGTTGTTGAAGCGGGCCTATATAACCCGGACGGCGACCGGACGGCTTCCTCGACCGTGTCTTCACTACTGTAAACGCTCGCCACCTCGCGATGCAGAGGGCCAGCAGCTACCGTAACATGCGGGAACGAATGACGCCACCGCCCGAGCCCGAAAGTGTAAGTTGTGACGAGAGATCTTACGATGCTTATCGAGTCCACGGTGCCGATGCACGTGGAGGGAGATGTGTGAAGGGTCATGAGACGTGCCGGTCAGGCCGCCTCAATTACTGCATGAGCAACGCACATGATCACGTTGAATCACAAAAGATGTGTGTACAGACGAAGCTTCTGTTGCGCTGTGGGGTAGAATATTGCCGAATATGCGTTATTTATTTTTTACTGCGATGTATAATCATTAAATAAAATGAAGTAGTTGTGGTGGTCCCGGTTGTATTTTCAACGAGTTTTGTTAGTGTATAGTTCGCTGCCGCGTGAACAATAAATAATAAACAACCTCAAACTATAGACTCCTTACCATCAATTATATGGTTGAAATAATTGGCTTCAGTAAAGTCCGCAATTTAGAGCCACCAGCTATATATATACACATATATATATATATATATATATATATGTATATATATTATGCTCGTCGAATGCATTTTCGTTGCCAGTCATTGCTTATGTATACAGGCACCCGCATAGGAGGATTATACAGCATCTTAGCGGCTTTCGCGTATGCTAGAACCTACCCGACGTTCAAAAATAACTACACTCCCCATCCCCATCAGCGCTGTAAACGCGTGCATGGGGCAGCTGTGCTCATGCTGTTAAGAACACTAATATTCTCGACAGCTCATCCATAGGTTGGTAGCATACACTATAGTCCTGCACGGGAACACAGATGGAGAGCGCCCCTCTGCTGGGTAATACCATGCACTTACTTCCTGCACGCTAAAGCCGCCACTACAGTCTGCGCACTGCATGGTTCTCCTGCATGGTTCTCCTGGTCAGATCTAACGTGGCGGACGTACCCTTAAGATCTCACAACAATCTACTGTGATAAAAGCGACAGGAAAATTACGTCTATACGCTAAATACAGAGGTGAAACAGTTGGGGACTTCCTACTAACCGTTCAAGACAGGCTATACATTCTGGTGCAATGATTAAGCAGCCATATTGGTAAACGATGGTTGCAAATTTTCCGGTAACGAACTATAATAAGGGGCATCACATATAGGTCTAGTACTCTGCAGGATCGGCAGGGCGTGTAAGTCTCAGTTCGAAATCGATGAAAATCTTAAACATATCTCTGCGTTTTCGTAGCTCAACATGGAGAAAATGCCGGATAAGGTTCTGCTAAAGATATTCTCCTACATGAGCCATGGCGACATCATGCGCATGGCACGTGTCTGCAAGAAGTGGCGACTGGTGGCATATGACAGCCGTCTCTGGCAGGTGGTGTCCTTCAGACCCGAATACAACGGACTACAGGTAATTTCGTTCCCCTTGTTTCGCAGCCGGATCAAGCGTTATGGTTGCGGTTATGTTACAATAATCATTATAGGGGGTCTTAGAAATTTGATGTTTCTGCTGAGCTACGTAATAATAATTAACATTTAAAAAAAACACATGAAAGTTCAACCTATTTCGTGGGCCTGTTCGTGCTACTTTCAATTTTGATTAAAAAAATGGCGTAGCGCCTCTGCTCTTACGCGCTTGTTTATTGACTTCTGCTGCTCTCTCTCTCTTCTCGTTTCTTCCCCCTTCACCCTAGAGGAGATATATATATAGAGAGAAGAAAGGAGCAACAGAGTGGTTACAGTATATATATATATATATATATATATATATATTTATTTTGTATAGCGGGGGCTAAGGCACCTATATGTATTGTAATAATAGAATAGTTATGATGGGTGCCCAAGGCCCCATATATAAGGTATTGTAGTATAGGGTATGCTGGCGCCCACCAAGGCCACATATATAGTATTGTGTATGAAGGGGCCTAATGCCTCCTATATAATAGTGTGTGGTAAGCCCTTGGTTGTAAGCTATACCGCCTCCAGCAAGAAAAGTAGGCTGCATCACTTGCACAGTTTATTATTGCGCCAGAGGCCCTAGCACCCGGTGGCTTAAGGCAGCACACTTGGATGAGGATATCTGTCGCCTGCATAAGCGCGGATACTCTTAGCATGCAAGGTCTTCCTCCTAGTTATTAAATGATGTCTACTGATGGAATGTTATCAATATAAATCTATGCTATGATAATTCCTCTTTAATTTAAATGCATAATCTTTCAAAAAATACGATTTCTCTTGGGAGATATGGCGCATGCGCGCGCACCGTGTTATACGTGCAGTGCCGTCTGAGGAAAACTTCTTAATATAGCTTGCTAAGGGGGAGGAGGAATTGAGACTGAGGAAAGGCGCATGGAAGATAACTGGGGGCAGTAGAAGAATAAGGAGGCTGAGCGAGGGACAAGGAGCAAGGGGTAGACGGTGGGGCATAAAGTAGGTATTTTGTACCGCTACATGCTAGGCGGTCTCCTAATTATAAACACACGAGGTCTACTGATAAAGTTTATATTAGGGAAATCTATGCTGAGATATCCCCTAACCATTTATGTATATCCATCACAAATTATAACTCGTCTGGTGAGATATTGCGCATGCACTAACACACTAACGTTGCAGATTGTGTACTGGCTGTAAACGCAGCAAAACTTTACGTGCAATGTCTTCTCCTATTTATTAAATAATGTCTACTGATGGAATGTTATCATATAAATCTATGCTATGATAACTCCTCTTTATTTTAAATGCATAATCTTTCCAAAATACTATTTCTCTTGGGAGATACGGCGCATGCGCGCGCACCGTGTTAGGCGTGCAGTGCCGTCTGAGGCAAACTTCATAATATAGCTTGCTAAGGGGGAGAGTAGATTGAAGACTGAAGAAAGGCGGCATGGAAGATAACTAGGGGCAGTAGAAGAATAAGGAGGCTGAGCGAGGGACAGGGGAGGCAAGGGGTAGGACGCGAGGGCATAAAGTAGGTATTTTGTACCCTACATGCTAGGGCGTCTCCTAATTATAAACACAGGGAAAATCTATGCTGAGATATCCCCGAACCATTTTAAATGTATATTCATCACAAATTATGACTCCTCTGGTGAGATATTGCGCATGCATTAACACACTAACGTTGCCAGATTGTGTACTGGCTGGTATATGCAGCGAAGACTTTACATGCAAGGTCTTTCTCCTATTTAATAAATAATGTCTACTGATGGAATGTTATCATATAAATCTATGCTATGATAACTCCTCTATATTTAAATGCATAATTCTTCCAAATACGATTTTCTCTTGGGAGATATGGCGCATGCGCGCGCACCGTGTTAGGCGTGCAGTGCCGTCAGAGGCAAACTTTATAATATAGCTTGCTAAGGGGGAGAGGAGATTGGAGACTGATGAAAGGCGGCATGGAAGATAACTGGGGGTAGTAGAAGAAGAAGGAGGCTGAGCGAAGGACAGGGGAGGCAAGGGGTAGGACGCGAGGGCATAAAGTAGGTGTTTGTACACTACATGCTAGGGCGCACTCCTCAATTATAAACACAGGTCTACTGATAAAAGTTCATTCGGAAATCTATGCTGAGATATCCCTAACCATTTTAAATGCATATTCATCACAAATTATGACTCTTCTGGTGAGATATTGCGCATGCACTAACACACTAACGTAGTCAGATTGTGTACTGGCTGGTATATGCAGCAAAGACTTTACATGCAGGGTCTTTCCTCTATGTATTAAATGATGTCTACTGATGGAATGTTATCTATAAATCTATGCTAAGATAACTCTCTTTATATTAAATGCATATTCTTTCCAAAATTCGATTTCTCACGGGAGATATTGCGCATGTGCCGCGACCGTGTTAGGCCTGCAATGCCGTCTGAGGCAAACATTATAATATTGCTTGGCTAAGGGAAATAGGGGATGGTAGACTGAGGAAGTGGCAGGAAACATAGCTGGAGCGGTAGAAGAAAAGGAGGCTGAGCGAGAGACAGGGAAGGCAAGGGTAGGACGCGAGGGCATAAAGTAGGTGTTTTGTATCCTACATGCTAGGGCGGTCTCCAAATTATAAACACAGGTCTACTAATAAAAGTTTATTAGGGAAATCTATGCTGATATATCCCAAACCATTTAAATGTATATTCATCACAAATTATAACTCCTCTGGTGAGATATTGCGCATGCACTAACACACTAACGTAGCCCAGATTTGTGTGCTGGCTGTATACGCAGCGAAGACCTTACATGCAAGGTCTTCCTACTATTTATTAAATGATGTCTACTGATGGAATATGTCATATAAAATCTATGCTAGGATAGCTCCTCTTTATTTTAAATGCATAATCTTTCAAAAATAACGATTTCTCACGGGAGATATTGCGCATGCGCGCGCCATCGTGTTAGACGTGCAGTGCCGTCTGAAAACAACTTCATAATATGCTTTCTGCGAGGGAGAGGGGATGG